AGGTTGGATATTAGGTGGAAATTTTTCACCAGAGGCTGGTGAGGCAGTGGCCCAGGTTGCCCAGAGAAACTGTGGATGCACCATCCCTGGAGGTGTTCAAGGGATGGGGCCCTGGGCAGCCTGCTCCAGTGGTTGGCAACCCTGCCCACAGCAGGGGGGTTGAAACTAGATGATCTTTAAGGTCCTTTTCAACCCAGGCCATTCTATGATTCTGTTAAATAACAGAGAGACACCCTGCCACTGACTTCTGAAATGTTTAACCACCAAGGGCACCTACCAGTTCACCCTCCACCTGTGCGAAACACTTGCTATATTCTGATAGTCTTAGTGAACAAATTGAAAAGAATCAGGATTTTTTTTTTCAGTGCTTTTAAAACACCCTGTTTCAGTAAAGTGTGTAGGCAAGAAGTTAAGAAGTTAACCGAGTAGGAATTTTGTAAAGCCCTTTTGAAGCCCTTCGCAGAATAGGCACAAGCTGCTGGACTGGGGCTTAGAAAGATAAGAAATATATTTCAGCAAAATCTGGTTAGAAACACATGATTGCAAAATTTTCATTTATTTTTGCTTATGCACACTAAATGAACTTTATGCACTTGTATCATGAACCACAGCACCATCAAAGGCATAGGTTTGTCAAAAAATGATGGTTTATTTCTGTATTATCACCCAGAATATTTCTGGTGTTTCAAACCACCCTGCACTGCTGCCTGACTTGTCCATTCAAGTGCTTCTATACTTGGGGGGGCTTGCAGTAAAGACACCATTCTCCTATACATTTGTACATATATATGCACATCCCTTGATATATACTTATTTATTTATATAGAAAAAACCTTCAAATTTCCTGAAAAATACAAACCCGAGTCATCCTTGCTACCTGCTTGTCTTCATCCCTGGGAAATTAACTGTATTTTATTGCTATTATGTATTGTTCTGTTCCTTTACCCAAGCATCTATTTCTACCTGTCAGACTACACCATAAAGACAAGAAAATCTATAAAGCGATTGTTACAGTAACAGATGGAAAGGTAAAACAACGAAATGAAAAACGAAACATGGTGAAAACAATAAGGCAGCAAATAACCCACTGGAAAGGGGGCTGCAGAGCTGCTGAAGGACGCACACATCTGGCTTCAGCCAGGCTAGGATGTTGTGCCCATCTCAAAGGTAAGCTGGAGAGAACAGGTGCCTTCAAATGCTGAGTGTTTGTAAAAGGCAAAAGGGGGTGGCAGTGTGTTGCTGAGTGGAAGAAGTATTCCCATAGGTCTTCACAACCGTAAACTTCATTTTTTTAAGTTCTCCTTTTTTGTTGTTGTTTTCCCCAAAATATATTTATCATTGCAAACATAAACATACCTAAATTCCGAGCAAAAAAAAGAAATCCATGTGAGGCAACCACTTGCATGTATTGAATTAAACCTGGGGTGAACGGGCTGAAAAGGAGAGAACAGTGAACTCTACCCAGGAAGAGAGAAAGGTTCAAAGGCTTGACGAAGCGTACCTGTGCTGAGCTGACAGCACCAGGCAACTATATGGCTACCTTCAGCTTTACAGGGCACTTTGTTGCAGGAGCTGCACGCATTTTATCTGAGGTTCCCCTTTCATCATTCAGCTTTGTGCTCCCTCACTTTGGAGACAAGGACACTGGGAGGCGTTTGGCTGGTTTTGACATTGTGAAATCCAGCCAGAGGGAAGTCCTTTTGCTCCAGAAGAGCGTTCCTCCTCCCGCACACGAGCGGCGAGCACAGGATGCGAATCCTTGGATCTGGTATTTGACCACAGCAGTCTCATGGAACTTATTGTTGGTTTTGCCTCACATGCAGACAAGAGGAGAGCCAAACCTTTGTGGAAACCCATATGCTCAAGAAAAAGAAAGTATGCCTCCTGAAAATACCATGCCATCGGTTGCAGCCAATATACACTCATGTTAATTCATCTGTCATCACAGAGCCAAATCCAAACTCTGCTCACCTTCTTCATGTGATTTGTCCAATATAAGAGTTGTAACCAGAGACAGAAAACACATCATTCCAAATCACATAAAACCATACCCAAATCCAGAGAAATTATTTCTGAAAATTGCATAAATGCATCTTTTTTAAAAACGGGTTCGCTTCAAAGACAGACTGCTACCCAACTTACAGACAGTTATATAAGCTTTTGCTTCTCCCTTACAAATTTTCTACCAGAGTTTCTGAAAAAGCTGGTATTTATATGAGTGGTCCTGCACCACTGGTACTTCTTACACTAGCATCACAAATATCGGTCTTCCTTTTCCTGTTGTCTTCTTTACAGATAGTTTGCACTCTGACATTCTAAAAGCGCCCAGTGAAGTAATGGCACCTGGTTCTAAAGAACTGCTCAAATGGGCTAAGAAGTGTATGTTCAGCTGTAGAAAGCAAAAGGCCTTTTCAAATTTACCATGATTAAGCATCTAAGAAAATGTTTTTCATTGTTAGGGAACACCTTCATAAACAGACTCAAAGGAAGTCCACACACAGCTGTTCAGAAGGAGGTGCTATCCAAACGGATGTGGTACAGCAGTCCATGGTCATTGAAAAGAATACAGGATGGGCTTTAAAAAGGAAGGGAGGAGTACGAACAAAGACATTTTATCTCTCCTGTCTCTACTTCCAGCTGAATAGCTGTGGCTTGCAACAAGTACTATTCCGTTCTGCATTCCACAGGAAAAGAGAAGGAGGAAAAATGAACACTTTGAGCCAAACCACGTCTTGAATTTTTCCCTGAACATGACCCTATGCAAAACATACAGTGATGGTGAAGCCAACAAGACATATGGGAATAGAATAAAGGAGAGAGCAAATGGCACTCACATTAGAAAATACTTGAAATTACAAATTGATGTTACATGGCTGCAACATGTCAAGCATGCTCCTTTACAGCTAGGGCTTCCCAGGAACTAGGAGCAAGCTCTTGTCTGAAGATTAATACAGCTTCCCAGCACACACCGTGCACTTTATAGTCACTGCAACTCAAGGCTTGATGAAAGGCTTTCTGGGAACAGCAAAAGGATAATATTGGGGCTTTTTTTTGTTTTCTTTTTTTTTTTTCCTCCAAGCATTAGATAACAATGAAATATAGCAGAGCTTGCATTCCTAGATAAAAGCATTTCTAAATTTTGAACATTAAGTGATAGTAATACCACACATTTTACATCGTGCTTACCATTCTGAGAGATTCTAAAATCCTTTACAGATGAAAATATTTGACAGAGAGATCCTGGCTTCTTCCATTTCAGTTGGGGCATAGGTATCACAGTCAGGTGTTACTTCAGTCATTAATGAAATTTTGCCATAAAATTGCCAGATTTGTTGCGTGCAAGCTGCAGAACTAAAGACAGATCAGGCAATGTACTAACAATCAGGGCTGCAGGTCACATTCCCAGGGAAGGCTAGCTATGTTTTTCATTTCAGCTGCCAAGCTTATTTTTTAATGCTCTTTAGCATGGTCCAGAAACCTGACAAAGCAAATAAAACAGAAGGAAAAAAAAATGGGGTCCTGTAATATAATTTTTTTTTTTATTCTAATAAAATAGAAGGTTGAGTCTGGGGTTGGGGACGTGATGGTGGAGAAGATGGTCACTCTAGTGGCATCTCTATTTTGAGACCGAAGGTAGTAGGTAGATGCAGGTTCAATTCTTCCTTTGCCTGTAGGGTTTTAAATCCAGTATCTCTGAGATGAGTGCTTTAATTCGGCACATCAGTGTCTTCTGAAAGTGTGCTGAACTCAATGCTCTCAGACTCAAACCTCAATAGCACTCACTGAAATGGAGTCAACGAGAGAATGGATGCACGGGTTGGTGGTGATGACAATCATTGGGGATGAAAGGATAACTGAGAGATGGGGTCTAGCTCGTGTTCCAAAAATACACAGCAAAAGGAGAAACTGAAAGTAGTCCAGATTACCTCTGATCCTCACGTGAGAGAGAAATAAGAAGTTAAACTTTAAAATTTCACCAGGCAAAAAGAGAGCTGAATTTGAGTGTGGCCCCCTGTTTAATTTTCACATGTAAGTATTAGGTGACTTGGTAGCAGGAAACCAAAGCCATCACCTCCTCCTTCTCCAGCAGATTGCAAACATGGCCCTGTACAGTTTTACTTACAGCCAAAACCATACAGTGAATTCACCTTGAACTTTAATTCCAGCCTCACACAGACCAACACAAAATGCAGTATCGAGGCATACACGAATTTCACCAGCTCAGCACAACAGAACAGTTAAATTAATCTCTGCAAGTTTAGACCCTTTTGCCCATTTTCACAGCTCCCAAAATATCACTAACACTTCTAAATATTTCATACTGGCACATCTGAAAAGACTTTGCTGGGGTTTCAAGTCTCTGCTGGGTTTTCAAGGAAAACCTGAACTAGATTAAAGTATACATTAACCCTAGAACAGCAAGTTAAACCTAATTTTGGCACAAATACCTCAAGGGTATTACAATTTTGGCTAGTACAACACAGATAACTCCTCCTCCACATAACATCATTCACTGTGATGGCATGGTTATCCCAGAGAGCAAAACCAGAGGAGCACAGTTCACAGCATTGCTAGTCTAGCCAGACAAATCTGGGCACTCTCATGGGCTAGTCCAGTCCAAGCCCAGCCACAAATTCCAGTTTGCGTAGAGCTCTCAATGACCTCCAGCCCACTGGGATCAGGAAACCTTTCTTTTCAGGTTTATTTACTTACTGGTTTTTCTTCTGGGCTCCCATTGGGCACCTCCACAACTCTGAGGTCAGGGTCCACCTGTACCCTCACCCTTGTGACAAACTGGATGACTGATGAACTGTCCTGAGAAGTAAAAAGAGGAAGATTGGATTTGAGGGTGAAAAGAAAAAAAAAAAAAGGCAGCAGAAAAACCCCAAACAAAAACATCAAACATTTGCCAGGGTAATAAACACATCCAGACGATGGCTAATGGAAGTTGGCTTGAGAGTTAAGTCCTATCCTGGTTAAAACCCTGCTTTGAAAAAATACACCACATGCTCATAAGAGACAGACAAAACCAAGCACATTATCTCAGATTAAAGCAAAATCAGGTATGTTGGACATTAAACACATCATTTGTATCTGGCCTGTTAACATTTCCCACATTTACTGCAAAAGCAAAAGACAGAACATTGCCAATCAACACAGGCAGGCTCAATATTAACCATCAAAGGAAAGTTCCTCTTTGTTTTTCAAGTGAAGGGAAGAAAAATTATATATGAAACCTGGGATAAGTTCAAGTATGTCCCAAGTTGAATACTTCTTAATTATTTGAATCTGTACACTGCAAATATCTTAAATATTCAATATACACCTCCCCTTATTAATAGATATTTCTCCGACATTTTACACAGTGCGTTTTAACAGGCACGTTTCCAATAAGCTGAAATTTCAACTCATGGGTTAGTCACTTGTATGCTGTTCGCCTTGGGGAGGGCAGAGGTGATAAGTAGCAAACGGCATGTATTGGTGATCCTGACCCAAAGGCATGTGTAAGCGCTGTGTTTCTTTTAAAGGAGTGTTACTAACTTTTGGCCTTGCCTCTATTTGCTGTTTTCAAATATGAACAAACATTATCAGACTGGTTGGTTTCAGCTGGAAAAACTATTAACTGCTTTAGGAACTGCTTTCTAATAAGGGCTCTCTTCAATGCTTTTAATCTAGCAGCTATCAAAGACAGGTTTATTTTAGTAGCTCATGTTATCAGCTTTCTCCTCTGATTATCTTATACACTCATATCTTACAGCATCTTGCCACAATTACACACTCAGCATTTTTTTTTTAATTAAAGGAAAACAGGGCAAAATGCAGTAAATCACCAGAAATGTAAAAGATTTTCTGTCTGTGGCTTCAGAAGAGACAGGAATTAACTTGCAACCATGTTTCTTGTCACAAATGTCAAGCTCAGCATTAATATGATTGTGATGTATCTTCTTTGAATAATAATCATTTGAAGTAAAAAAAATTACAAAAAACTGCCACGTCTCTGTTTACACGGAAGGAATGATAAGTCGGTCACAGTTTACATACACTTACTCTACTTTTCATTTTTCAGAGTGAAAACTTTCTGAAATCAATTCAACTTTCCAAAGTCTCTAGCCTTAACATCATGCATACAATTAGGGGCCTCATTTGTTGTTTCTCAGTGTATAAATTTCTGAACTTAATTTATTTCTGTCTTAATGGGTAATGGGTAGGAACGAGGATTAACACCTCCATACATGCTGTTGATAAATAGATCTGTTTTCTATGACACCATGATTTTTTTTATAACACACTAGTAAAGAGAGGAAGGAACGCAAGTTTTGAGTCTGTTGGTACACATAAGCATACTTAAATTGGTATTTAAGACAGACTACAAAGGAAGCACATACCTTCTTCAGTATCTCAGTATTCAGCAGCGTGTAGATGCTTATATCACAGGACTCCGATTTGGCTAGTGAGCTTAAGTTGCAGCGAATAATTAAGCAGGACCTGCCTGGTCTTTCACAGTCCTACAGGAAATATGGAAAAAGCTCTTAGGCAAAGGAGGAAAAAAATTCGGTGACAAATTGTGCGACAGCAAACACACCAGCTGACTAGGGTACATAGTAAACTGTTAAAATACAGCGCTCATGCATTGAAATAGCAGCAACTTGCAAGACCCGAAGACAGCTAGATACAGAGACCTTGCATGACAGCAAACCAGGGAAAATTCAGCCCTCTGCAGAGCTGCTGAGCCAGGCAAGCACCCAGGGCTGGGGGAAGCGAGGCCACTGCACTTCCTGAAACTTCCTTTCCTATTATCTGTTTAGAAATCTGATAATTAAAATACCTATACATCAGTACGAGTCTACATGCACCAAACAGTTGCTTTATAACGAACTATTTGCTTGAGTTCTTCATGCTGAGCCATGCAAAATCTTTTGTAAGACACTCCGTACGTTCAAGCTTGTCATAGGTGGACTTTCTTACCAATACTTTTCTGCCAGACTTTGTGAAAAACGCAAATATTGTGTGGAAAATGTTTTCATTCCCTTGAGGAACAATGCATGGGCTGGGGTTTCTGTGAAAAGAACAGCTTCCTTTGTCTTGACCAACCTGCAAGCACAATTAAAATAACAATTACTACTCTGAATAAAAATAAATGACACAGGAAGGTGGGATTAGCCCATCCTCAGAAGGCACCTACAGGTGAACTGGATGTCTAGATTCCTATCAAGAGTCAAGAGAGAAATAAGCATTTCAGGAGTCAAATAATCCCAAGGAAAATATCTAAAATAATTCAGAGGAACCATGCTCTGGAAATGCTTGTCTCTCTTGACTGAATAGGATACGAACATATCTAACCCAGCTGATATTAAGTGCTTGTGTTCTACATGTCTGGCGATAGAAAGAGAGGGGAAAAACCTCAGCAAAAGATATAAATCACCACACAGCATTTTAAGTCAATTGTGTTATCCCATGTATTACCTTTTTTGTAAATGTATTATTCAGTGCTCGTTTGTTTCGCGGTTTGTATCAGAACTAATGAGATAAATTAAATCTTTGTGTAAAAGCACAACCCTAGACACCAAATCTAGTCTCTTACCTCTAGCATAAATAGTACAAATCTAAACTTTTTTGTTTCATTAGTTTATTCACTCGCCAGAAAAGTAGATGCTTTAAGCAAGTGAAATGTGCCAAGGTTGGATAAAGTGATCTTCAGCCAAGATAATCTTGCACTAGAAAACCCTTCTTACTTTTTGCAGTTTATGAATATTCACTGAAGAATACCTATTGGAATGTAATACAAACTACGACAACAAACTATCAACAAATTCCTCATGCTAACATCTGTAAAACCTGTGAGAGGCAGATTTTCCCACAAGCCACCAAGTGACATTCTTACACATCCTGCTGTTGACCTCCCCACATCCTCTACTCTGAGAGAATGAACACATGTACTTAGAGGAAGAAAAAAAGTTGTTATAGATATGAAATTACTGCATGCTCTGAGACTGATTCTGCATTAACAGTTTTTAGCTGAGTTAGCCAAAGTATTGCCAAAAAAATGAAACAAAACCTAAAGGACTATCTAGAGCTTAAATGCTGTTTTTCCAGAGAAGTGATGCCTATGTCTCTTGGTAAGATATACTGTTCCTGCTTCACTGGCCCACGAGCTCTTCATAATCTGTTCTTTGAAGTACGTATTCATAACCTGTCTTTACATAATCTGTCCTTACATTTCCAGCAGATACAGGCACAGGTAGCTACCCACAGTTTACAGTCTCCTTGGGATCAACTGAAAATTAAGACTAAGATGGTTTCCATTTGTCCAGATCACCCGGAATGAGTTTTTATTATTTATTGTATGTAAGAGATTCACAAAGCACACTGACATTTATTTTCTTTGAACTTTCACATGGGAATTAGATCCAGATCAACCAGAAGGTTTATGTTAAATCCAGAACAGCAGAGTCAAGATCTATTCAGTACCTGCTCTTTCTTCCTAAAAGTTTGAATTACCAGACGTTTGAACAGATGTCATTAGATTCATGCAAGAGGTACAGAAAGGACAGTATGAGCTTCTGCACTATCCCAGCTTTTGGCACACTCTTTAAATAGTCCTGCATTACATCTGTACAAACAGGGTGTAAGAACAAACCAAAGCAGAAACATCTCACAAGACTAAAAGGAATTACCTGGCACAAAGCAACATAAATCTGATCCTTTCTTCTCTAAATGATTATCTTTCCTAAAACTGAAGCTTGGCTACATCTTGTCCTTTTAAAAACACTTAAACTGAACAGAGAAAGGCACCTCCAAAGGACTAACTCTGAATTTGGAAACACCCTTTCTTTTCTGAGAACTTTGCGGCAATGCTACACAAGGCAGCTAGTAAATTCAATGTCTCGGCCCGTGTTATGAGGGACACACAAAAAGACCAAGCACCTCCTGTCACCTGTGCTGCTCTGGAACAGTTCAGCATGTCACCTACAGCCTGGTTTAGTAGCCAAAGGCAGATGCCACCTTGTAGAAGGAGAAGGCAGACACCACTACTTGTCCTGCAGAATTTGGGGGAATTCAATCTGGCAGAAATTAGGATTTCCAGTGGGCAGGAAAGGATGCAAGGCAGATGAGTTTTAGCTGAACATCCAAAATTTAAGGGACTGAAAACCACTACTCACTCATGAACATGTATATAAGCATATTCTCCTATAGCATTCAACCTGACAGCATATACATACAACCTTCATAAACATGAAGAGATACAAGCCAGAACATTTGTACTACACAGACTGTAAACAGCACCTTGCATAACAGGCCTCGTAAGGTCACCATAACTTTGCAAAGTCTAGTAGTATTACTCATCTATCTTCATGCAGAAAATCAGAATATCCCAGATGCTGCCTTCCCCACCCACAAATGGCCACATGTTCAGAGACAGGTTAGTCTCCAGCTTTGTTCATTTATTGGAAGTTGCTGTCCTGTTAAAGGGGCCATAAACACACTTGAGAGACAAAATTCAAATAAGCCAGCCTATACAATGGGTTACTCTACCAACTTTTTGTTGTCAGCACAAACCACTAAGCTTCTCAGAGACAAGACGTAACCACTGGAGAAAGCATGTGCATAACTTCATGCTTTAAAAATGCTGTATCTGCAACAAGGAAGAAATTCCCACAGCATGACTTTAGTGGACGCCGAATATTTGAAAAGTCTTACGGAGCAGGGGCATAAAGCAGCAACAATTTTTAACCATATCAGGTTATACCACCCTTAAGAAAAAATAGCAGAAGGACATTTCACAGTGAAACATGTATATGTAAAATATATCATGTACACTCCACACACATTACATCCCAGAAAACTGCAGGATATTCGAGAGGGCTGTATGAGAATAGCATGGTAGACTTATTACATACACAGGGATTATCCTCTCTACTTTCCCTGTTCTTGTAGGGGTTTATGAGATTACTTGGGCCAGGCTTGGCAAGGGGGAGCCAACCACCACGTGTTCCTCTGTGAACACAGAGGATAACCCTGGGCTGCCAATGAAACACTTCTTGCATTTCTAACCCAGGTCAGTCATGTGTTTAGAGGATTTGGAGTTTCTAGGAGAAATAATACACCTGCTGCCTCAGCACCTTCCCCTTCAATTATCAGCTCTGTCCCTCCGCCTTCGGGGTACTCGTAACATCATTTCTGCCAATCTGTAGCTACTCTCAGAGCACAGCGATTTCTAGGAAGCCTTTGGGGCCTTTAGGAAATCGTAGGAGTTTGTTAGCAAACATTTTAAGCATTCAGGCCATGCTACCTGTAACATAAACTTCACAGGTGGACTGAAAGCCAGTGGCCCCTTCTAGACTTAACTTCAACTCATTTAACATGCATTAAAGGTGAGACCCTCCATTTTTTTCAGAACCTCATATCCTGCACAAGATGTCAACCTGGGAGAGGGCAATTAAATACAATTTTCAAACAGGGGGCTGGAAAGGTCTGCTGAGGATGAAGCAGAGGGAAGTGGAAATTGGCAGTTGGCATGGGGCTAAGTATGTGCATGTGTTAGGAGTCTCTTGGAAGAATGAGACTGAAAACCATGAGGAAACTAGCTGTTGCTTCCAACGAAGCATTAAGTACAATCTCCCTGCTGCACAGAAGAAGCTGAGTGCTAATTCTATATTTAATGATTGGCATTTTACAAAATAAACAGGTAAGCAAATGTGTATCTTCAGCTAATTCCTTATAGACAACACCAGACTCCCACTAATGCAAAGGAATGCATTATGGTATTAAAGTCTCCAGGCTCTTCCAGTAAGCCTGATTTCCCTCTTGAGCTAAATCATCACCAGTTATTAGCGAAAGCCTGGAAACCAGCAGCATTAATCTGACACAAAGCAAGCGTGAAGGTGGAATTCAGGCGTGAGTGCCGGTGATGGAACCAAACCCACTTCCAAACACAGGAAAAGTATGGGGGCAAGTTCAGGGAAAACATGAGACACCAGTTATTTGGAACAGCAATTTTAGCTTCAGGAGCCATGCTCAAGGTCTGAACACAGGTCAGTTGTTTCACAAAATTCTTAACATTGTTCAACTCTGAAATGGATGCCTTTCTCATCAGCCCTGGGGTATGCTGGCTCCAAAGGACAGTTTGTCCGTAGTCTTCTTGAAACTGCTGCCAGATAGTTTTTACATATTTCTCCTTTCTTATTAGGATTTTTTTTCCACTGATTTATTTATGTACGCATGTCTAATCAGCAGTTCAAGTTTGCAACCTGGATAATAAAAGATCCACTTTTATTTGTCTTTGTTGCTAACCATAGCACATTTGTCCAAATATAGGGGGGAAAATGCATACGTGTGTCCTGATTCAAAGATACTGATTCACCCTTTAGTAGGTGAACGGAGATGAACTGACAGGCATGGTTAATCTAACATGTCACACACACTGAGAAAAAAAGGGTACTGACAAGAAATTCCAGACAGGGTCAGACTTTCAACAGTAGACAAATAAGTTATGTAAATATGTTATCTGAGTACTTGCTCCATATGCCAAAAATGTTTAATATTCACAGATAGTGAAACATGTTTGAATCAGAGCAGTTTTGTTGATTCTGGCAATAAATTTAAGAGCCACTGAAACAACAGAAAAGAATTTTCTAAATTAACCCCATTTTATACAGCCCTTGAAAGTTTTTGACTCAAAAGAGCAACGCTGCTAAGGAAAACCAGTACTCCACAGATCCAACAGGTAAACTTACATGGCCATGAGATACAAGATTTAAACAGCAAAGTGGAGGTGCTAAACCATGAAATCAGAATAGAAGAGTATTCCACCATAGCTCTGGCTCCTGCTCCTCCAGCCAAAGGGAGAACACCAGATGTACGTTTGGCATAAATCTGTGCTAACCTTCTTGTAACACTTGTAGATGTTTTTCTGACGCACTTAACCCTGCAGCTTAATTAAATAACCTGTTAACTGGGTTTGATCAGCATAATCCTGCAACATTTGCCTGGTCTTGGCCCTGTACTTAGCAGCAATCCCCAGAAGTACTGCTCTCAAGAACTTGTGCCGCCTACCCACTTTAGTAAGAAAAGCAAAGATTTTCTGATTTAAA